AACATTTTCTTGATTAAGGGTTGATATGGGAAAGCCCAGCCAATGGTGTGGATGGTACCTTCCTGGGCAGGTAGGCTTGAGTGATATAAGAATGCAGGCTGAGCAAGCCAGTAAGCAGCATTCCTCAATAGTCTCTGCTTCAGTTCCTGCCTTGAGTTGCTGCCCTGTCTGACTTTCCTTCACGAAAGACTGTAAGATATAAGCTGAAGTAAACCCTTTCATCCTCAAGTTGCTTTGGTCATGGTCTTTATCCTAGCAACAGAAAACAAACTATGACCAGCAGGTGTGGAATTGGGAATGATCTGAGAGGAGCTAAGGAAGGAGAACATAACACAATTCATTAAATTCTCAAAAGAATTTTTTCAAAAGACAATATAATTTAAAATTAAGAAAAAAACTCAAGTAGATAGATATTTATCAAAGAAAAATAAAAATGAGCAACAAACATATAGAAGATCAATATCATTTTGAAATCTGATCAAAGCTACAATGAAATACCATTTCATACTTATTAAGACAGTTTTTTTTTAATTAAAAAAAAAAGGTAAGACAGGAATGAATGACAATTAGAGGGGGTAGAATGTTTTAGTGAGTATATGGAGATATGTGAATTTAATTTTTTAATTTTTTTTAATCCCCCCTCCTTTGGATGTTTATGTGAGGCTGTTAGATGCCCTGGAGCTAGAGTCACAGACAAAAGTGAGCTGCAATGTAGGTGCAGGGAATTGAACCTGGTTCCTCGGAAAGAACAGTCAGTGTTTTTAATCTTGAGCCTTCTCTCCAGCGACCCCCCGCCCACCTTGTCCTTTGCAGATAAGTTCTCCCTATATAGGTCAGGCTGCTTTCAGATCCCCTGACCTTCATGTATCTAGTGCTTGGATTGCAGGTGTGTAGCCTGATAGCAGGTGAAAAATTCAAATGGCTGTACACTGTTGGCAGAAATTTAAAATTGTAAAACACTGCATTTTTAAAATATAAATACAATAATATATAGCTCACCAAATATACTTAGAAATATCTATAAGAAATAAAATGGTCTATAGAAAAGCTTTTACCTAAGAGTGCATATATATGGCTTCTAGTTTTTGACTACTGTGAATAATGCTGCCATACAAACATTTATGTAGAAGAGTTTCTTTCTTTTTAATGTATGGATTTTTCCTGTGTGGTGTTTGTGAACCATGTGTTTCAGAGCCAGAAGAAGGGAGACATATCTTATGGAACTGGAGTTACAGATTGTTGATAACCATCATGTGGGTACTGGGAATGGAACACTGGTCCTCTGCAAGAGCAACAAATGCTCTTTTATCACTGACAGAACCATCTACTTTTGAATTTACTTTTACTTTCACTGGCATGTATGTGTGTGTGTGTGTGCGTGTTACAAACTCTACATTAGAAACCATATTGTGAAAGCCTACTGCATTGGTAATTGCCTGTCATTCCCGCACTTGAGAAGTTGAGACAGAAAATTGTGGAATTCAAGGTCATCCTCGGCTACACAGTGAGTTCTTGGACAGCCTTGGCTACAGGGGATCCTGTTACTTACACACACACACATACACACACACACACACACACACACACACACACACACACACACACACGATACACACACAAAAAAACCAAACCAAACTACTATTACTGAAAGAAATCATATGGTGAAATGTGTCTCTAAGGCAAGTATATTTATTAATATATAATTATATGTATGTAGAAACACACATCTATATACAACATATGCAAAGAATTAGTATACTAATAATTAGTATGGTATAATTCCCTTTCTATATTGGTAAGATTCATAAACTACAAAGTCTTATGATCACAATAAACAAATCTAGAAAATACTAATGATTAGAACTTCAGGTACCCAAGGCACCAGTAGCACTGTCCTCAAATCCAAGACCAAATACTCAAAAGTTCATTTTCCTATACAGTTCAACCAAGTATCACAGGGTGAGGTCAGTCTCTTGATGCCCTAATCACCCAAGACTTTATATTATATACATTTCTTATTTTGTCCTGTGTGCAGTCAGAACCTCATGCATGCAAAGGAAATATTATTTAGTCTCACTATCTACAATCATACATGGACTACAAAAAATGTACACAGATACCATATTTACCACAACTGAGTAACTGATGTTATTTTTCTGAGTTTTGAGGTTTATACGTGGTCTTCCAACAACCCTCCACAAATATATTCTCATTTCTCAGGTCATGGCAAGATCATAAAGCATAGATAATGCCAAACACAAGCATCAGCTTATCAGACTTTCAAAGCTTTGCATTTTCTTCTCTTCACTCAACAAGTACAACAGGTACCAATGAAGGACACAGAGGATGGCTTTCAAGACACACTGTAATTACTTCAGTGTCGTGGTGACTCAGAGCTCACTGTCTCTTTGTGCTAGGAGTGTGCTCAGTATCGGCCAGGGGAAGCTTTAGCAGGATGGTACTAGTCACCACCTTATTTGTATGCCTTTCTTTAAAGCAAAACTAAAATATAAAACAAAACTGTATCTAATCTAAAACTGTCTTTGATGATTTTATTTAAAATTTCCAGAGCAAAGTACAATCTATAAATACAATGAATTATTCTCTCACTCTAGACCCCCAACAGGATTTTTAAACATTTATGATATTTTCAGATAGAATACTATTCCACTGAAGATAATCAGAACCAATACAGAAGCTCTCCCTATGTATTCTCACTGCAGTTAGAAGGTACCACCAGAACAAGGGGATTGTTCAGTTCACACTGTTCAATGAGCAGCATGTATACTTTCAATTTATAATCCGTTGCTTGGAGGGCTATTCAAAAGCACCAGAAAAATAACATTTAAAAATTGTGCCTAATGCTCTAACATAAACTCCTCAGTTATGAGGTTTCTATAGTCATTTGAAAAAACAAAACAAAAAACCCAGATAAACCAGAAAGGGCCTAAATATGAAGACATGCCTTCCATGGCTCTTCTGAGCAAAGTACTTTGGATCATGGGTATAGCCTTTGCTGATAAGACAGAGCAGCCCTCAGCCACAGGAGACTACTTAAAATAGCTACTGGGTTGGTGAGATGGCTTAGTATGCAAAGTCCGAGTTCAATCCCCATGACCATTGTGATGGTAAGAGAACACGGATTCCCACAAATTGTCCTCTGACTTCCACACACATGCAGTAGCATGTACATGTCCACATAGAGAAACACATTCACACACTAAACACATAATGGAATAAAAATTTAAATTCAAGTTTCTTAGTTACACTAGCCACATTTCTAATACACAATAATTACTTCATTGGACATTGGACATTGTACATTGGACAGTGAAGACAATATTCATATCACTACAGGACATCCTATTAGCATCACGAACACACACTGCTTCAAATAGCAGTCTCTCAAAGTCACAGAATGTTAAATTGCCATCATATACTCAGTTTTTTGAGGATTGACACTGTAATGGTAATTTTAGGTATAGTAACCACATGTCATTGCTTTTCTAGAACCATACAAATATTTCTTAAATTTGTATTACTTTCTATAACATGGGCCTATGAAAGTAAAAGTAAATGCAACAATTTAAGGTAGGGCATGGCCTGGCAGTAGCCCAACAGATATACCATGTTTTTTAATCTATTCATCAGCCCATGAACATTTTTAGTAAGACTTTGTTTATAAATGAGACAAAATCCTTTGTTATATATACCATATTGGGATTCTTGCTGTCAACTTGACTACATGTGGAATTAACTAAAACCCAAGCAGCTGGGTATACCTGTGAGGGACTGTTTTCTAGAGCTGGCCCTGGTAATGTAAGTGTGGTTGACCTGGATCTGAGGACCTGAAAGCAGAACTGGCCTCACTCCTTGCTGCTGCAGGCTGCACTGGGTGAGTTAGCTGAGGTGGTGGTGGAGAGCTTGTCTGGGTAGTGACCATGAGGGTAAGGCTGGTGGACTGATCAACCCAGCCACCACCCAGGCCCAGAACCAGGGCTGATCTGGCCCACTCCAACATCCACCAAATCTATGAGCTGCTGGAGCAGGCGAAGGGGACAAACCTACAGATACAAAATGGCAGGATCTACAAGACACAGGACAACAAGACGCAGAAGAACCTCAGTGAGAGCCCACTGGAGGTAGTGCAGCAGAAACCAGAGGCGCCGAGGCAATGAACATTTGCAAGTAAAGATGAATGAACTAAAGGGTACACTGTGACTCAACACGCCACACTGCAGTGCTCCTACTTTTGTTTTGTTGTTTATTTGGTTTAGATTGGTTTTTCATTGTTCTTTTAAATTTGGTTTTGATTGGGGGGGGGGTTGAAAGGACAGAGGACGGATGTGAGGGGACAGGGAGATAAGTGGGATCGGAATGTGAAACCCACAAAGAATCAATAAAAGTTAAAAAAAAATGGCCATGAATTACAATGAGAATACACACTGTCGTATGTGGTCATTACACTTGCAGTGGCTCATCTTCACTGTCAACAGGAGTCGATTTGGAGTACATAAGGCGTATGATTCTGAGTATGTCTACAGGGGTGTTTTCAGAGAGATTTAACTAAAGAATAAAGATCCTTCTTGAATATGAAAAAAATCATTTGAAATCTAAAGATCTACCTTTAATCTGGGCCATGCCTTCTGCTGGCATCCTATATAAAGACCATGGATGAAGGGAGCTTTGCTCTTTGCCTGCTTGCCCTCACTTTCCATGACTACTGGATTATTGGACTTTCCATTGGTAGACAGCCACTGTTTGAATAGCTGGAACACAGCCTGTAAGCTGCTCTAATAAATCCCACGTTCATTCTATCAGTTCTGTTCCTCTAGAGAACCCTGAGCAATACAAATATGTACCAAATTTTGATTCAAGAAAAAAAATTTTAGAAAGCAGCCTCTGTATATAGTGAAAAATCCTAGAGTTCTTCTAAGCAGAGCTTCCTTTCTTGGGAACTCTGTTGTACTAACCCTCTCCTGTGTCTGTTTGCTACTTACCATGCTCCAGGTGAATCTTCATGCACCACTGTGTGCCCTTGTTGGCTCCTGGCACCATCTCCGCTAAGAAGGGAATAAACCCTCTGCACTACTACTCGGACCCCAACTCCAGACCATGGGCCTGCTCTTTGGCTTTCCACAATGTCCAGAAGAGAATCCCTCAGGGGAGCACAAACTGCAAGATGTTGCTCTGTCTTGTCATGGCTGTGGGTCCAGGCTGTGCCAGTGGTGGCCAGGCCACTACATGTAATCTGTCCAAGACATGCAAAAGGAATAGTTTAAGTTTGGCTTATAGAATTCACACTGTCAAAAAATAGTGGCATCATGAGGTAACCGCCAAAGCACTGGCAGTGCACTAAAGAAACACAAACATGTAGATCTGGCATCTATCCTGCTGAAGAGTGGAGGTGGGTAAGGGGTACACAGCAGTTTTTTCTACTAACAGTACCAAGTAGACAGTCCTACTATTAATTACTTCATGGGGACAGTTTCCCTTTTTGGTTTGTCCAGAAAGAATGAATACAGTTTAATTCAAATTATTAAGTGCTTGAATATGTGATCTGCTAATTTGCATATTTATGTATTCTCCCAACAACTATACAATAGTATCAAGGATCATAAGCCAACGATACTTCTGAAATACTTGTCATCTTTTAGACTGTTCTTTACATACTAATATTTATTCTCACAATGACCTTAACTATTCTCATAGATAAAGTTGAGGCACAGAGAAATGGCGTAATGTGACCTAGCATAAAGCTTCTAAGGCAGGATGTGAAACAAGGCACACGCTTCCATAACCCTACTTTATTTTTCTTTAGTGTCAGTGGTAACTGTTTGCAAACATGTGCACAGGAACCTCTGGAGGACTGAAGAGGGGATCGGATCTCTTGCAGCTATAGTCAGTTACCATCCACCTATGTAGGTGCTGGGGACAGCACTGGGCACTCTGGAACAGCAGCAAGGACACTCTTTACAAAGCAGGGTTTCTCTGTATAACTCTGGCTGCGCTATGACTTGCTCTGTAGACCAGGCTAGCCTCAAACTCAGAGATCCACGTGCCTCTGCCTCCCAATTAACCTGCCAGGACTAAAGGCGTGAGCCACCACCACCTGGCAGCAAGAACGCTCATAATGCTGAGCCCTCTCTCCAGCCCCCTCAAAATCTGTATTCTTCACCAGTATGCCACATAGTTACTGTTATCTAACAAAATGTATCTTAATAGTTTTACATAGCATGAACTGTTTAAAAGTATACTTTTACAAATTTAATTTTTATTTTTTAATTTAATATCCCCCACTCCCGTGTGTATGTGCTTGCGTGTATTACCTGGCATGTGTGTGGAGGTCATAGGGCAGCTTTAGTGCCTTCCTCAAATTATACCTTCCAGATACTTCTTTTGATAGTCAATGGAAGATACTTCTTTTGATAGTCATATGGTTCAAAGCAGGGTGAAGGTTTGCCAGTTTCTGATTTTTCTCTCCTTCTGTCTTTTAATCTCAGTATTTTGTTCTATAGTTATTTTGCTAATCCAGAGATTTGAGGCCAGTGTACTGGGAACAGATTCCCAGAGTGGAGATTCTTCCTGGATACATATTCTGCCCACTAATAGTGAATTACTATGAAATTCCAAATTAATTTTGGAATAGCTCAGAGTCTCCACCCCATGCTCCATTAAATCAATCTCAATAATATAACTTCCAACATAATTATAAAGCTTTATCTCAAGGGATATAGGCACTAGGAAATTAGAAAATATAAGACTTATAACTCTTAATTTCAAGATGAAAATAGACAAAATACTTTCTAAGTCCTAAATGTGCTAACCATAGCCCCATGAAGCTGAAAACTTACATGCTGCAATAAACTGAAATAAAGATTAAAGCTATATAATGGAAAAATGAAAAATTATAATGAGACCATGACTAAATGCTCCTTGAGTTTTTATATCTTTTGGCATCATAATGATAACAACACACTCTAGCATATATAGACAGAAGATGAATATTCTCACATTCAAATCCAGATATCAACATTATTACAAGTGTAAGAATCATCAGTCAATAAGAATTTACCTGACTTCTGGATGAACTACTTGTTATGTCTTCAATTCTAAACATCTGAGCCAAAGTTATATTTCTTCTTGGATGAGATGTGTCCTGACAGTATACTTCATGCATTGTTTCTTTTGCAATAGCCTTCTGACAAAAATAAGTATTCAGAATAATAGAGCAAGTTCCGTTTGGGATAAGAAGTTTCTGCCTGAAAAAGAAAAAGAAATTTATCAGTTTATTTGCAACTTGGGTTCTTCTTATATTTTTGTGAAACAAGGAATGCTGCAGTTAAAGTCAAGACAGTACACTAAATTACAGTACTCCTAATGATGGGTGGCTAAGACCACTCATGCCAGGGCATGGAGTAGTAGCTGCTAATGATATTAGATACATAAGACCACATCAGTCTAGAAAGAGAAAGCCACCCCTAACAATCTGACAGCAAGAACCATACCAGTCAACAGGAAGAAAGGCCTATGACAATTAGGTATGACTCAAGGATAGAACCTTACTTTCCCAGTCCAAGTCTTCTTTTCTTTTCTTTTTCTTTTTTTTTAAGAGTAGTGAGAACAAAGAACTTCCCATTTTTATTCTTAAAGCAAGCAAAACATGAGGTGACTTTTACAGTTAAATGAAGCAAATACAAGTGCACTGAGGGACCTCATCTGGTGGTATGTCTTATCATCTGTGGTCATGTGATAAGAGGCAAGACTATCCCTCTTAAGCCTCTTCCTTTTCCATAGAGAGAATGTGCACATGGCATGCTATTCCCTTCATGTTCTTGCTTTCAAGTACATTCACTTACAGTTCATACAACTCTTTCTAGAATGCCACCTTGTGAAAAGAACATCCTGCAATCTGTCCATACTCTCCAGTGTACGTCTTATGTTAGTTATAGAAGGTCACTTAAGTCCCTAGGCTTCAGCCCTCTCAGAAAGACCCATGTTCTCTCAGGAAGAAATACAGCTAAGAATGAGAAAAGACTATGAGAATCAAAGAAGCACTCAAACAGTGAACTGGATATTATTTACAAACAAAATCCTTATGTTTTAAGCAGATCTAATCTTTCAATGAATATAATATTAAATGGTGAAGGAACTTGGACCCTTGATATCAGCTAGTCATAATCATCAACATTATTCGTGCTAAAAGAGACAAACAAGATAAAATATACCAAACAAAATTCTGAGGTTCTTCTCCATGCTCTAATGTGATACATCACTTTAATGCACAGTCTTTAAATCAAGATGTGCTGTTAATAAGAAAAACTTAAAAGCTCGGTTTTTGGAAGTAAGAATTTGATACATGTTACCTTATTCCTCTCATTAAACAACACTGATAGGTGGGGAGAAGGCAGAACACCAAGTAGTGGGGGGGGGGAGGGAGGAGGAGGGAGAGATAGGGGGATATTAAGAGAGATATTGAGAGAGAGAGAGAGGGAGAGAGAGGGAGAAAGAGGGAGAGAGAGAGAGAGACAGAGACAGACAGAGAGACAGAGAGAGAGAGAGAGAACGTCTTGGGACCCAAGAAATAATGCAATAGCAAGGGCAGCAACTTTCTGAACCATTGAGTCATCTCTCTAGGCCCTAATTTCTCAGCTCATACAGTTTAGGACCCCTTGCCTAGGGAATGGTGCTAGCTACAGTGGCCTGAATTTCCCAAATCCATTCATTACAATTCCCCATAGACACATCCATAGGCCAACCCAAAATAGATAATTCTTCATTGAGACTCTCTTGCCAGGATTGTACATTATACCAAGTTGACAAATCATGCTAACTATCACTGGCCCCAACAAGAGCCAACTTTCTCTAAACAAAGGCCCCAAAAAAAGGCTACCTCAGCAAGACAGACAATCTTAGGATAATAACTTGTACTGAAATCTCCTTGAACTATAAAAAAGGAAACTCTTTCAACTTAATGCTGAGAAGGTAATCAAGAAATTTTCTCTTTCTACATTTTTATTAAATACAAAAGTCCTAGTGAGTAATGCAAGGTGCAGGAAGGAAAGAATAAACACACCCACCAGAAAAGCAGCAGTCAAGTATGACTTCCCCACACAGTTTTGAGACAGGTTTCATGCTGTGCAAGCTGACTTCAAACTCTATATGATTGAAGACGATGTTGGATTTGTGATCTTAATGCCTCCATTTTTGCTATATAATGTCATGACCAATGATGGCAAAACACACACGCACGCACGCACGCACGGTTACCTTAAAATTTATTTGAAAGCAGGCTATGGCAGCACACACTTGTAATCACACTATTTAGGAAGCTGAGGAAGGAGGATCATAAGTTCCAGGCCAGCTCACATTAAACAGATTAGACACTGTCTCAAAAACCCAAACGAAAGTGAAATAAAACCAAATAAAATAAAGTAAGCCAGGTATAGTGGTTTACAACTGCAATCCTGGGACTCAAGAAGCTGAAGTAAAGTCTCAAGTTCTAGAAGAGCCTGGGCTATAGTGAGATAGGGAGGGTGGGTGAAGGGAGGGGAGGGAGGAAAAGAAGACAGAAAAAGAAAGAAAACAACACAAAATTAAGAAAAATTTATACATAAAGGCAAAGGAACTAGAATATTTTGAAAACAAACATAGTGTAGAGGACAATCTCTACACACAGGTAGACATACATGATTAATGAAATGTGTGTATGTACAGATGTATCAGTGAATCTCATTAATTTGTAAATTAATACACACTGATTTGTGCAATCATACTAAAATATAAAAAGCATAAGTGAAAAAAAACTAAGACCATTTGATTTAACTCATTCTCTTTTTATGAAAAACTGTGATGTGGCTTTTGAGCAGACCGTGGAAGCACCCCTACCAGCAACCCTGCTACCACTACCCTTGCCTAGGACCCAGAGGCTAACAGAAACCAAAAAATGGAACAACTGCCCCCAAAAGACAGGGCCAGATATTAACATGAAGAAACACTTGAAACTCCATAACCCCTGATTTCTAAACCTCAGCACAAAAACACAAACATAAAGAGCCAAGAGAGCACCCCAACACATACACACTAGAACCCAGTAAACCTATCTTGTAGTCCTTAAAAGATGCAATATAGGTGATGCACAAGACAAGGACTTCAGAATAGCAATTATGTCTTCAGGGACCTTAAAGAGGATATAAATAAATCCTTTAGTGAAGACTGTGAAATCATAAACAGTTAAATGAAATAATGAAAACAGTTCAAGACATTAAAGTAAAAATAGAATCACTAAAGAAAACCAAAACTCAAATAGACTGTAAATGAAAAATGTAGGATGTCAAACAAAAATGCAGAGGTAAGTCTCACCAACAGATTACAAGAAGAGCAAACCTCTGGTGTTGAAGACAATTCTAGACATTGATGCACCATCCACAAGGGCACCCAAGTTCATAAAAGAAACATGACTATAGCTAAAATCACTTACTGACCCTCATAAAGTGATAGTGGGTGACTTTAATACAACTCTCTCAACAATAGACAGGTCACTAGACAAAAAATAAGCAGAGAAATGTTGGAGTTAAATAATATTATAAACCAAATGGACCTAGCAGATATCTACAGACTATTTCACCCCACAACAAAACAATATGCTTTCTTGTGGTTGATATTTTATTTGTGCTGAAATATGGTGATATTTTATCTATATGTTAATAAATAAAGTTTGTCTGGAGATCAGGAAATAGCAAGCCATTTTAAATAAACACAAAAATCAGGCAGTGGTAGTACACACCCTTAATCCGATCACTTGGCAGACAGGTCTCTGTGTGTCCAAGGCCATACTAGGGAACAGAGCCAAGCATGGTGACGCACATCTTTAATCCCAGTACCAACCATAGAGACCTGGAGGTCTGTACAGACAGACAGTGACAACGAAGTGAGGTAGCTGGGCTAAGAGCCAATGAGACGACAGAACAGCAAGGCAATAAAGGCATGGGCAGACAAGAAGTAGCACACTTTGGAAGCTGTGGTGTGGTGAGGTAAGGTTAGCTGGTGGCTATTCCTATTTCCCTGATCTCTAAGGCTTTCACCCCTATATTTGGCTCTGTTTTTTTTTTTTTATTTAATAAGACCGCTTAGAAATTTGTCTACACTTTCTTTTTAGCAGCTCACAGAACTTTCTCCAAAACTGACCACTGATGCTGGATGTCTTTCTGTATGCTGTGAATATGTGTTGCTCCCATTGGCTAATAAAGCTGCTTTGGCCTATGACAAGAAAGGGTAAGAGCCAGGTGGGAAATCCAAGCAGAGACACAGGGAGAAGAAGGAAGGAGTCAGGGACAGACACCATCCAGCCACCCAAGAACAAGATGCCAGCAGACCAGTAATGCCACTGTCATGTGGCAAAATATAGATTAATAGAAATATGTTAATTTAAGTTGTAAGACCTAGCCAGTAGCAAGCCTGAGCCAACGGCCAAACATCTATAATTAATATAAGCCTCTGAGTGATTATTTTATAAGCAGCTGTGGCACCAGGCAGGATACAGAAAAGCCTCTGGCTACAAACCACATATTAGGAAAGAAGGCATGTCTTAACAGACATAAGAAAACTGAAGTTTGGAATGTCCTGCATCTGACCACCATAGATTAAAATTAGGTATCAACAACAGAAAGTAAATTGATCAAGAGAGAAATCAAGAAGAAGATCAAAACCTTTTAAATAATTGAATGAAAATGAAAACACAACATATCCAAACCTATGGGACACTTCGATCAATGGAATCAAATTGAGGACCCAACGTAAGTCCTCTTGGTTTTTGACAAAGAAGCCAAAAAATACACACTGGTAAAAAGCATCTTCAACAAATGGTGCTGATCAAATTGGATAGTTTTAAGAAGAAGAATGAATATAGATCCACATTTATCACCCTGTACAAAACTCAAGTTCAAATGGATCAAGGGGCTCAGCATAAGAGCAGCCACACTGACGGAAAAGAAGGGTAAGTAGGGGGTAATTTGAACTCACTGGCACTGGAGAAGACCTCCTGAACAGGACACCATTAGCATAGGCACTAATACCAATTAATAAATGGGACCTCATGAAGCTGAAAAGCTTCTGTATGTCAAAAGACACAATTATGCAGACAAAGTGGCAGGCTACAGAATGGAAACATATCTTTGCCAATTTTACATCTGACAGAGGGTTAGTATCTAATATATGTATATAACTAAGATCAAAAACCTGAACATCAAGAAATAACTGAATT